GTCATATGAAAACAATTAGTTAAGGATTGTAAATATAGTCCAAAACGGTTATTCTCGTATATAAAGAGGCGAACTCAGAGAAGAGATGGAATCCCATCACTTTTGGTACAAGAAAATCCGTTAATTTTGGCAAGAAGTGATATCGAAAAGGCCGAAGCTTTATCGGATTATTTCAGTAAAGTTTTGTTAAGTCGCGAGATTATTGCGTATTGCTATAGGACCAAGCGAATTTCTACCAATTGACCACATTCAGATATCCTAGTACGACCCCAATACTGTTCCCCAACTCCAATAAATCAGAACACAGCCGTTAAGCGAGAATTGTTTATGGGGTCCGAAGCAGATCGAAAATGATTTACAGACAAGACATATTTATACAGTTAAGATGACTATGAACAGTAACCAATGGGAAGAAAGAACACGTAAAGGTTATAATTAGGACAACTCAAAATTGACCAACAGGAAAATGACACGTGAAAGTCATAGTTAGGACAACTGTAAATAATGACCAATAGGAAATAACATGTGAAATATGTGGAGAGCCTGAAAACATACCACTTTACGTTCGAGATAATTTTTGGGATATTCCCGTGAATATCCTAACAGTTTTTTCTACCAATGATGAGGAATGATCATCTATTCATTGTGATGGTGGCGTCTGGTCAATGGTGGACCCTGTAGTTATTAAGAAAGATACTGTTTAAGGGCCACTTTAGCATCTCAAACCTGATAATTCTAATGGGCCTGATAATATTCATCCTATGATTATGAAAACTCTATCAGATATAATTGCTGAAATTTTAGCGATACAGTTTGATATGTCCCTGCGGCAGCCCAGATTACCAAGAGACTGGAAAGACGCGATAATTAGTCCTGTGTATAAGGCTGAGAGTAGAGATTTAGTTAGCAACTATCGACCCGTCACTAGGTAAGCTACCTAGTGAAGTTGTAAAACTGATAGAAAAATTGTTCGGATGGATGTCATAAACTATGTGGAAGGACATGGTCTTTTATCCAGGGAGCAACATGGTTTTTGGAAAGGCCTATCATGTTTGACAAATCTTCTCATTACAAGAGAAGATTGGGCTGAGGCAAAAGATCTAAATATTCCTGCAGATGTGGTTTTCATAGATCTAAGTAAAGTCATTGATAAGATCTCCCACTCTGGTCTTAAATTGAAACTGGAAAGTTCTGGAATTCATTATGCAGTCATGGACTGGATAAGTGACTTTCTTCAAGGCAGGAGACAAAGGGTAAAATTAAATGGAGCTCTCTCATTATGGGAACTAGTAAAAAGTGGAGTCCCCCAAGGCACAATCCCCGGTCCTCTTCTCTTTTTACTTTATGTAAATGAGTTACCAACTGCAGCTAAGTCATCCGTCCTACTCTTCGCCGATGACATAAGGATTTAGAGACCCATATACAGCATATCAGATAGAATCACAATTGATTGATCACTGGGTGGTGATCAATCAATTGTGATTAGATCTCAGTCCTACAGGAGGTCGGTCGCGGCCCGAATAGCTCAGTGGTAACGTCTCTGACTGTGAAGCTGAGTGACGCGGGATCGAATCCGCCAGGGAGCATCAGTTCCCTCAGGATTACAGGTACACCTTGCTGACGAGTGCCAAGTAGCACGAAACCCGGGTCCAGGGTTTCCTGTTGACCACCTCCAACCACCATGTTACCCTAATATATATAGTGCCCGCAGTGTCGAGCCACCTAGACTGGTGGCCACATTGCAACTTGATCGATAGCATTCGATCAGCACTAAGGACCTGACACGCATGAGATTGATCACCACCCAGTGATCAATCAATTGTGATTAGATCTCAGTCCTACAGGAGGTCGGTCGCGGCCCGAATAGCTCAGTGGTAACGTCTCTGACTGTGAAGCTGAGTGACGCGGGATCGAATCCGCCAGGGAGCATCAGTTCCCTCAAGATTACAGGTACACCTTGCTGACGAGTGCCAAGTAGCACGAAACCCGGGTCCAGGGTTTCCTGTTGACCACCTCCAACCACCATGTTACCCTAATATCAGATAGAATATTATTACAGGATGACCTCAGCTCATTAATGGCATGGATGGACAGGTGGTCACTAGAAGTGAATCCTAACAATAGTGTAGTGATGCAACTAAATAACTACGATGTTTCGTATTACTACACAATTTATGGATTTGTGTTACCCAAAGTAGGAAACTATAAAGGTTTAGGAGTCATACTAAACAATGATCTCAAAACAACCAGCAACTGTAAGGCTGCTGCTGTAAAAGGCTAGAGGGTATTACGGTTTATTCATAGATCTTTCCGATATCTGGATGAGGAAGTGTTTAGATTATTATACCCAACTTTCGTGCGACTGCATTTGGAATATGGGATTCAAGCAGCGAGTCCTTGTTTCAAATATGAGGTGGATATGTTGGAACGAGTTCAACGCCGCGGGACGAAATGGTAAAAAGCCTATCTGACCTATCTTATGAAGACAGACTGAGACACCTCAACTTATTTCCGTTATCTTACCGTGGAATATGGAGTGATCTACTATTGGCTTATCGTATCCTGAACGATGACCTTAGTACTAACATGTCCTATCTTCTCCTTCCGTCTAGGACTGATCATTTGAGAGGACATTCGAAGAAAGTACAAAAAGCGAGATCAAATCGTCTACGTCTGGAGTTTCGTTTCTCGCACCAAGTAGTGAATTACTGGAATTCTCTACCAGAATACGTAATGTCAACACCTTCTGTTGATACATTCAAAATGAGATTGGACCTCCACAGTGTAACAAACTGCAAGGATTAATATAGGTTAATAGACTCCTATCCTTATTATTGAAGACTGAAGGCTGAAGGTACAGTAAAACAATCAATGGTACAGTTGGTTGTGATAATTATTGTTTCTATTCTGCCAATCACGTTATCTTCACAAAAGTTGGTCACTACAACTTCTTTACCCTTCCTTCAAATAAAAATTAAAGTAATAGGAAGCCAATGCTCCCGAGACCTGTATGGGTAGAACGTACGATTCCAAAAACACCTTAAATGTGTGCTACCCGAATGCCTGTAGTCTTCGAAGTAAAATGTTCGAGCTAAGTTTGTTGGTGGATGAATTAAATCTCGATATAATTGTTGTCACAGAAACTTGGCTCACTGTAGATATAGACTATTCAACGATCATTTCAGGCTACATCTGTATCAGAAGTGAAAGAGTTGTAAGTCACAAGGGAGGAGGCATAATGTTATATGTCATGGACCACTTTCACATGCAATCGATCATATCGGAGGCGCATGCCAGTAGTACGTGTGAGGTAGTATGTTATACAATTAGGTCTAGAAAAGGGTTATTAACTATAGGAGGAACATATGTAGTCCGTGTTGTCTTGCTGACGATTTTATCTTATGACACGTCTGTTCTTGGAGTAAGGCAGAATAATGTCTCATCATTGGAGACTTCAACACACCCCATATCAACTGGATAGAGCTCACAGCTTCAGTTGGGAGTTTCGATAGCGACCTTCTATCTCAATTATTTAGTGTGCACTTGTACAATGTATCGTAAAACCGACAATTATTGACTTGGAACATGATCCGTCACTGCTAAATCTTGTCCCCACACACCACCGTGAAGGTGTCTTCGACATTCAACACCTTCCCCCACTAGTGAATATTGGTCACGTACTTTCCTTTAAGTTCCAGGCACATGGTATACAATTTGCATCTTCTCCACCCCGTTCTTATTTCTGGAGAGCTAATATTCCGGCAATCAGAGGCTGTGCTATCTCGATTGACTGGTCGGTCGAAGATGCATGGAATAGGTTTAAGGCTACGTTCGAATCCGTAACTCAACCGTTTGTCCTATGGTCAGCACGTAAGCTACCACATGGCCGTCCATGGATTAATAAGGAAGCCCGGAAGTTGTTAAAACGTAGGAAACACTTCTGGGATTTATTCTTGTCAACAGGACAGGCATCATTTAAGTGCGAATAAAAAAATCAAGAATATATGAAAAAGACCATAGCTAAATCCCGTACCATTTACGGACGACAGTTGGCATATGATAGTCGTACTTGTCCGAAGCGACTGTCTTCGTACGTTAAAAGGCGGACAAAACGTAGTGAAGGTATTCCCACCTTACTGCTACTCTAAAATTCGAATTTAATGGCCGAATCAGATCTAGCAAAAGCTGAGACTTCTTCAGACTATTTTGGGAAAGTCTACTCTACGTGTAGTGTTACAACTACTTGTCCCATTTACAACGAGATACCAACCATAGGATCTATACACATGACTGAGGAAATTGTTCTTTCATTGATAACTAACCTCAAACCTTGTAAGATACCGGGCCTCGATGGGTTACATCCACGTTTGTTGTTATCGCTTGCGGACATTATTTCAAGACCGCCCGCGACGCTCCTCAACATGTCCCGTTCACTCTCTCGAATACCTAGAGACTGGAAAGATGCTATAGGTAGTCTTATATTTAAGGATGATCAGAGAAGGATCCCACATATGTAAGGACACACTTAGAGTACTGTATATAAACAGCTAGCCCATGTCTGATAAACGATACTAACTCACTTGAGAGTGTCCAGCATGTGGGAACGAAATTAGTGAAGGGTCTTTTAAACACCCTCACGATGTGCGTTTGAAATGTCTAAACCTTTTCCCCTTGTCTTATCGTAGGACGCGAGGTGATCTTATACTGGCATTTCGTATCTTTAATTATGATTTAGGTGTTAATATGTCTTATTTTTTTTGCTCCCTCTAGCACTGATAATCTCCGAAGTCATAGCAGGAATGTTCGAAAACCGCGATCTAATAAACTAAAAGTGAGGTCCCGTTTTTCTCATCGAGTGGTCAATGACTAGAACAAGTGGTATCAGCCCCATCAGTGAATCTGTCAGGATGAACACAGGTTCATCAACGTACTATCCTTATTACTGAAGACTGAAGGCTGATAACATTTTGCGCCCTATATAGTTGGGACGCTACTTTTATATGGTGTTCGTAAGTGGTTGGGATTAAATGATTCTTCTTAGTTTCATCGTATTGATAATTCTTCCCCGTTCACCACCTCCTACAGATGCTATCCGGTTTCCTTTTTAGCCGATAATTTTCGGTCTAGTGTGGAGAAAGGAGGAAAAAGTAAGACTTCATATAGTGTGTAAATGTTTTAGTTATCATGCCTCCATCTGCTTTAGATGTACTTAGTAAGTCTCAGATATATGAACGCATGAAATTTTAAGCACGACTGAACGTCCAGTACCCAATGCTATTCAAGTTGACTAACCAACAAGCAAACCGGACTACTCATTGTGGTGTATTAGAATTTGTTGCAGATGAAGGGAGGATTTATGTTCCTTACTGGGTAGACGTCAAATATACCAGTTCTATTTCAGATGCTAAAAAATCTACATTTGGAAGAAGGTGGTTTGGTCTCTGTAGTTAATGCAGCCTTGCCTGTAGCTTCTTTCGCTCGTTTTCAACCTCAGAGTACTGATTTTCTGGATATATCCAACCCCAAAGCTGTGTAATTTTATTCTCAACTTATAATCACATTTAGACTAGAAAATGCTCTTCGCGACTTTGCTTGCCTCACAGTCGGAGATATCATTGCTATCAACTACAATGAGCGTATATATGAGCTTAAAGTGTTGGAAACAAAACCGAAGGATGCAGTCACCATAATCGAATGTGACATGAGCGTAATTTTATCGTTCGTATATTTGTCCTTTTAGGTTGATTTCGCACCTCCAGTTGGATATCAGCCTACTGACTCCAGTTCTTCGAGCAAAGAAAGTGATAAAGATCTACATCAGGTATATCTTTTAATTGTTCAAACGTTTTCTCGTATCTTTTCGTTTAAAGTCTAATTTACTGTTCGAAGTTTTTTTGGCTTTCAACCTACATGGCACCAGTCTGTTGATGAGATCCGATTAGTTTTGTGAAGTTTGAGATTATAGCAGACTCATTTGTCAGAAGGATCTTGAGGGTATTGTATCATTTGAGCTGGTTTGGTGATGACGCTCTTATTTTCCTTCCTGACCAACATTATCAGCACAAACGTCAAAAATTGAGCTGTTAGGTTTTCTCCACAAGTGACTAACGGCTAGTGATGTTGGCATTACATCTTATTGGTTATTAGCTTTTAAGCTTTGTGTATTTTGAAGTTGTCGTTATTTAGAAGTGAAGATATTGTATCGTTCTTTAGGTCTTGCTCAGGTGTTACAATATTAGAGGATACCATCAATCCGTCATGGATGGAGTCCAGGGCTAAGTTCACTAAATGTGTTGATGTTTTTAAAATTTTTATTTATATGTTGTATCTGGGGCCTCAGAGAGTAATACCTTAGAGCTTAAAGGAATTTTCAGTTTATATAATGTAGCTGTCATGAAATTACGTGAGAACAAGTCCGTTGATTTTTCAGTTACCATTAGTCTTCTCTTGATATCTTCTTTCCTTTAATGAGTTCGTTTAAAATACAGAGGATTAGGTTATCCAGCTTTTTAACCGAATTTGTCTCCACTCTAGTCCTCCCTGTTTATAACTACTAATTCAGTAATTCGTTTGTCGTGCTGAGCCTTAGTCTTGTTCTTCTTATTTCTTAGATTATTTGCGTCTTATTCTTTTTTAGTCAGAATTTTGAACCCCCTTACACCTACGTACATGTGGTAAAAATTAAGAAATAAAAGTATCTTATGCTACTATTCTTATCTTTAAAGGTAGGAGTTATCATATCATAAGAATTAAAATAGCATTGCTTTTTTGTCTATATTAATTACCTTAATGGCTGTACATAATTTAGATGAATAAATACTATCTTCGTTTTGTCATCACTTCCATTTTTGTGAGTTTAAAAATTACCAAGAATATTTGCTGACAATATCTTTTTTCATTCTGTCATTTGTTTACGCTGATTACTTGTTTCAGCTCGGAGAAGATATAAAAATCCCTTCAGTTGTTCAAGGATTTCAGGTAACTTGTTCTTCATGTAACTTTCCTCTTATTTAAATATTATGGCGACAAATACTTAAATACTTATCGCAAAAGCTTATTGCTAATGGACTCTAAGTAAACTTCAAGATTCTTGATATTTCTATTTCGGAGGTCGGATAAGTGTTTCTGTGTCTCGATTTATTGAAAAATACTGACTTATTAACTGAGGAACATCAAATATCTCATATCAGTAAGTCGGTATAGTTCTGAGTCATCAAATGAGGAGGCTGAAAAACAAATAGCCAAGCTTATCTAGTAGTGATCCATGCTAATCTATCTTGTATCTACACGCATTGAATCATATATTGATAACCACACTAAATTATCATCGTCTCACATTACAATCGCTGACTTCATAACTTATCATTAGCTTTTCTTTTCAGTCAGTCACAACGTAGAACTTCGCACGTACGTACATCAGTTCGAGTTGCCATACCACATTAGCACAGAGATGCAGTTGTCCATTCAAATCCCATAGTGGTAGAGGTAATTAGAGTATATGCAGTAATCCGAAATACTAGGGTTTGAAGATGTTATTCAAGGAGTATAATCCGGCGAAATAAATTTGGAAAAAGAAAAAGATAGAAACATCAATTCAGAAGATTAGATTTTGGGAGAACACAAGAGTAGATGCACCTGAGTTTATTTATTTATTTAAACACATATATATTGGTACAAAAGGGCACCAGGTACATATGCGCCACACAAAATAATGAAAGTAGGTAGATAAAGGATGAAAAGATAAGGCGGGCTGAAATGTACAACCAGAAGATTCTTTCAGTTAGGAAAGTTAGAACCATTCTTTATGTAGAAAGTAAAAGAAGGTTGCAGCAGGATCGCCACTGGCTTCTATTCTGAGCCATATCCGATAACGTCTCTAGCCACTGTGTTGCACTATCTCTCGGACCCCAACCAGGGAGTCGTGAAGGACCAACGGAAGCTAGCCCTTTGCAGCTCTCTTTCATGCCACGACACCATGTCATACACTGACCTCCTCTCCGCTTTCTCCAACCAGTCCCAGGGTCGGCAAATAATGCACGACGCGGAAGTCTCTGGGACGACATTCGTAAAACATGTCCGAGCCACCGAAGTCGGTGTTTCAAGATGGTGACACCAATTGAATTATCGTCTCTGCGCCCGAACACACGATGCCGAACCTCTGCATTACTAACATGGTGTTGCCACTGGATGTCAGCAATCCTTCGGAGACAACGATGATCGAACACAGAGAGACGTCTAACATCCTCAACTCGGAGAGGCCAGGTTTCACAAGCATAGAGTAAAACTGCTCTCACCGACGCGTTGTAGATCCGACCTTTTACAGCCAGACTAACATCACGAAGGCGCCAAAGATGGCCCAGATTGGCATAAGCCGCTCTGGCTTTCATTATACGTGCATCAATCTCATCACTCACGCCACCACCAGCACTTATATAGCTACCTAGATACACGAACTTCTCAACTACTTCGATCTCCTCACCATCCAGGGTGAGTACAGGATGAGAATCCTGCCAGTCTTGTAGAAGTACTTTGCACTTGGAGGGTGCAAAGCACATGCTGTACCTGCGGACACTGATTGCCAACTGATTAAGTGCTGATTGTATGCCTTGGGCATTATCGCACAGTAAGACAATATCATCCGCATACTCAAGGTCGAGAAGTCGTTCTCCAGGCAACATATCCACACCGCCATTACTTACATCCATCAGAGCTGTTTCTAGGATGTCGTCGATGGCAAAGTTGAAGAGGAATGGGGAGATCGGGCAACCCTGCCTAACCCCACTGCTCGAATGGAACAAGGGAGAAAGGTGGTTGTATGCCCTCACTCTGCCTGAGGTGTTCGTATACAGGGCCTTTAAGATGTTAATGAACTTCTCAGGCACACCCTTCTTCAATAGACAATCCCAGAGAACAGTCCTGTCCAACGAATCGAAGGCCGCCCTGATATCAAGAAACACTACGATTGTTGGCCTGCGATAAGTATGACGGTGTTCTAACATTTGGCGGAGGGTGAAGATGTGATCAATGCATCCTCGACCAGAACGAAAACCAGCCTGCTCCTCGCGAGTCAATCGTTCTCGGGTTTTAAACAACCTACGAAGAATGATAGAAGCCAATAGTTTGGACGCGATCGAAAGTAGACTTATCCCCCGGTAGTTATTGCAGGAACAACGTGAACCCTTTTTAAAGATAGGGACGACTATTGACTCATTCCAAGATGTTGGAACACTTTCTTGCTCCCAAACCTTTCCAAACAACGCAGTCAGTTCCTTAGCCAGAAAGTCACCACCATCTTTAAAAAGAGCCGGAGGTAAGTCATCTGGGCCAGGTGATTTATAACGTTTCAAGAGTTGGAGTTCCTTGTGGACTTCCGCCTCGTTTGGTGGATCAGTCGTCACCGGCCATGGGGAGCAGGACCTGAGTCATTGCAAACGATTTTGAGCCATGTCATCCAAGGTCTCTAACCATCGGTTGCTATCATCTCTCGGATCCCAACCAGGTAGTTTACACCTACCACCATGGCTCAGTCCACTTGTCAGTGACTTCATGGATTTGTGCCACGTCTTGATCTGGCCGCCCCCCTACTCCTACTCTTTTCTTTTGACTACCTTGAAATATTTCTCAACCTGATAATTTAGTTGACATCACATTTGTTAATGGCCTGTAACTAGAAATGCATAATATATCTGTATCCCAGACCAGTACAGATTCCCTACCTGATTCATCAGCCCTCTTGTTTGCAAAGAACACTCCATTCTGATCGATTGACAGATACCTTCATTGTAATATCACTTGTCGTCAGATGCAAATTAGTCTGATAGAATGCAACAAACTACCTCACTATATTCTGAATTTCTAATAGAAGTCATAGTGTTTTGAAATGTATTCACAGCTGCCAAGCAACGTTTCTTCTTTTGCAACAATACGTATCAATTACTTACCATCGTAATGAGAAAATGAACTCCTTGCATACATCAATAATTCATGTTGATAAATTACAACTAAATATTGAGCATTCGTGTTTGGTTTCTCTTCATGATCATACTTTTCCTCGTAATATTTAACCATAATATGTTATCCGTCATCCAAAAGTACTGATTTCCTTCCGGTTTCAGTTATACTTCCCTGCTAATCTTCAGGATTTTACGGTAGTAGTAGTACTGTAGTACATAGGTAAAATGCTTTTCGAGTTGTGGATCCATGTCTCAGGTTTGACGGATCGAAATATCATTAGGACCTATGACTTATTCATCATTTGTTCTAAAAATAATTCATCAACTTCTGTCGCTTTGTCTTTTTTTTATATAAAATCCTCAATGGTCCTGTCAGCCTAAAAGATGAGTGGCAAAAACTTTAGCCACTTCATGAATACCACCCATTTTCTGCCAACTATTCAAATTACTAGTATTCAGGTTTCATAATCCAGATGGGTTGTATTTTTAGCCAAATAGACTAACTCATAGGAATATTTGTTTGTATGTTATCAGTCTTATTTGTTTAAGTAGCACATGAATTCTCATTTATTTTAGGCATTTAGCGGTACAGGTTATCGGTTAGATGGGAAAAATAAACAGGATAAAACTGATGAAGCAGATAATGGTCAATCATTAGGGCGATTGAAGGAAAGAGAAAGGTAAGAATGACCATTGTTTCCAACTTTATACTGCTGCACCAACCAAATTTTGTGTCCACTAATTAAATTGAATTATTGATTACATGAAAGTAATTTACACATGATTTTAGTAAAGGAATTTGATCTTCTATCCCAACTAAATCGAAAACTGAAGTAAATCATCATATCTTAACAGCTAAATTGGAGAACTGAGGATAAATAAATTCCCACCCTACAGGTCTAATCATGAAGTAAACACCGTTTAATCAAAGAGACTATCTAGGTTACTCTATTTCTCAAATTCTAAGCCAGATGAAAGCATCCATTTGTGGTTCGTTGATTTTCACTACTTGTCGTGTCTTCAACAAAGGTGAAGTGGTCCTCCAAAACCAATGATTTTGTTTCAAATACTGACTATCTTCCCTCAGAATCTTGTCTAATTTGAGGAAATAAAATTAACTTTTCTTTGAGAGATTTATTAGTCCCACAAAAATTACACAAAAGTCGTTGTGTATTAATATGTTTTAAACGCTTGAAAATATGATGAATAAATATCACACTAAAACATTTGTAAACCAGTAAGAAGATGACTACATTAAAGGCAGTAAAAATATAAGACACTTGGCATGGGGAAATCAAACCTCAAATCTTAGGATAATTAAATTTGATAAGAACACTGTTCCGTACTTCCGTTCCTGTTCGCTTTAAAATATTTTGTTCCATCTAAAAAGAAATATGGTTACCATTAAAAGATAAAAACAATTCGGCCATTTGGTAAAAGTTTTTATATTCGACTATGAGTTGTATCTATTTCGAGAGTTGGAAATACTATCCAGTCTCTCAAATAAACTGATTGCAGTAGGACTTAAACCTATGCCTAAACGGTTAGATATATAATTCTTTCGCCACTAAACCACAACTTTTAGTTAGTACTTTTTACTTGGCGTTAAAAATATTTTCAGGTTCAAATATTATTGTACAGAAGTAAGAATATGGAAAACAAACTTTCACCACTTGTTTTCTAAAGATAAACTTTCAGACAGCCATAGTTACGTCTAAAAGTCCCCCATACTCTTAAAGTTCATATTGAATCCAAGGAAATCTAAGGCAATCAATGAAAAATCAGGAATTATGATGCTAAATATTTTTGACTTCAGTTAGAAATTTTTTATTGGTATTTCGCGATGTCAGTCTATGTTAGCACAGTATAGTCTGTAATGAATCTTACCTAATAATATTTACCTTATATTCCTAATGTTTATTTGGTAAGATGATTTCATTTAATTCAGTTTAACTTAATATAATGGGTGATTAAATGTTCCAAAGTACTCTTTCTGCACTCTTAACTTTCTCCGCAGGGGTGTACCAAACTACAATTATCAACCTGGAAGTTTAACATTTTTCCGAAATGTAAAACAAATTCCTGTAGAGGTAGGTTTATTTTATCTAATACATTTTTTATAATACTATTTTATTCTGTAAGCTAATACTCCGTTGCGAGTCCAATTAATATGTATCATACCATGGTTACATTTAACTAATCAAAGGCGACGGAAAGAATTTCGATGTTAACACTTTCCATTAGCTTAAATTTACTTCACTGAGGATGATTTATAACTTTGGTTTGAGACTGAGTAGTTAGTTACGTTACAATGGTTTAGGCAACCAAATAGTATCACTAGTCTTCATACAAGTAACTGTAAGTTAAGCCTAAGTACTTGAACTTGTACTTACTTGCTGAATAATGTTTGACTCTTTTCAATGATTGCTTACTCTGACATTTGGAATTGTGAGAATAGAAGACTTACATTTCTATATTGTGGATTCTATTGATTATTCTACTTCAACAATTATGGTTAAAACCGACACCTTTATCTATTATCCTTTTTTGTTAACAAAACTAAGTTTTCTAAAAAGTTAAGTGTGAAACAATCTCATAAAAAGACGACACTCTTATCTGCTCTCAGTCTAGACGTTTAGAACAATGCAAGGAACATTAAGGAGCGGTTCAGTTGGGCTACAACTACTCTACGGCTACCCACCATTTCCAAACAGTCTGAATAGAACATTAAAGTACGCCCCCCTACGACTCTGAATGAAGTTTGAAAAGCTATAGCTAATCTGAAACGAGGAAGAACATCCGGTCCAGATGGATTGAAACCAGGGGTCCAGTTTTGGCGATCAGGTTAACTAGTATTTTAGCTGAAATCTGGGGGTTGGACGTAATCCCATCTGACTGGTTACAATCACTGATTGTCCCAATATATAAGAAGGGGTCAAAATCATCCTGTGATAACCATAGATGAATTAGCTTGAGTAATATGGTATCTAAAATAATAGCCTCAATAATTATCGGGCGCCTAACTAAGACTCGTAAACTGCAAACACGAGGAAATCAGACCTGATTGTGACTGTATCGACCACATATTCACCATTCGTCAGGTTTTAGAACACAGACATGCTTATCGCGCGTCAGAAAACAATAGTTCTTCTTGAATTAAATGTAGCATTTGACTCTGTAGACCGTGTGAATGCTCTTTACTCAAACAATACCAGTCGAGTCAGAGCTAATGGTGTACTGTTACTCGATTTTACAACCTAAAGTGGTGCCTGACAAATCTATCCACTATCTCAATTGATTAATCACTGGGTGGTGATCAATGTCATGCGTGTCAAGTCCTTAGTGCCGATCGGATGCTATCGATCCAGTTGCAATTGTGATTACATCTCAGTCTTACAGGAGGTTGGTCGTGGCCCAAATAGCTCAGTGGTAACGTCTCTGACTGTGAAGCTGAGTGACACGGGATCGAATCCGCCAGGGAGCGTCAGTTCCCTCAAGATTTCAGGTACACCTTGCTGACGAGTGCCAAGTAGCACGAAACCCGGGTCCTGTTGACCACCTCCCACCACCATCTATCCACTATCTCCATTTTTGTCCAACTTCATCATAGACCTACTGCTGGAAATAACGTCCTTGTTGAATAAATTTTCAGGAATTGATCTCCTTCCAGGAGGTTCACTTATCGATTTAGAATACACAGATGACGTTTTCCTGTTTGGTGAAGACGCTGATAAAATGCAGAGTGTTTTGGTAGCACTGGGCAACAATATCAGGATGTTTAGAATGCGTTTCTTCCCCTCCACTTGCAAGTTGTTGCTTCAGGACTGACCTGCGTCAATTCCTGAACTGAGGATAGGGAGTGAAGTGGTCGGACACGTCGACAACTTCACTTATCTTGGAAGTCTGATCAGCCCTAATGTGTTGGTGTCTGACAAAGTGTGTGCACGGATTCAAAAGGCTCGCTTGGCTTTTTCCAACTTACATCACCTATGGCGAAGGCGAGATATCCGTCTATAAATTAAGGAACGAGTATACCGCGCAGAAGTATCTTCTGTTCTACTTTGCGGTTGCGAAACGTGGTCATCAAGAGTAGAAGATACTTGTAAGTTACTAGTACTTGACCACAGATGTCTTAGAAATATTGCTCGCATTTACTGGGATCACCGGGGAAGTAATAGTCAGGTTAGACACAGGGTATTAGGGAATGATGGTAAATCAGTCGATGAGGTTGTAAATCTTCATCGACTAAGATAGTTGGGTGACGTGTTACGTACGCCTAAACATCAATTACCATGATGTACAGTGCTGACTAGTATTGGGGATGGTTGAAAGGGCGTTAGGGGTGACCAAACCAAAACGTGGCATCAGTCCTTGAAGTCACTAACTTCTGGTGTTAGTCATATTGGTAGATACAGGCTACTTGGTTGGGGTCCACGTAACTATCGTAACAGATGGTTGTAGACTCTAGGTGACATGTCTGAGAATCGATCACAATGACGTAGGCGTATACACTCCCTGTCCTCCCTTAAACCTTGAGATTAAAATTGCTTTATACCTTTATTTTCACTAATTACTTCCTTCTTCCTATATTATATCTTCATACACAATCTTCCTTTTATATATTACTACCATTAAAATAACTACTTTTATGAATTTGGTGTTCATCTTGTTGTGCCAATGAGGTGTGGCAACTTGGGTCGACAGATATATGTGCATGGTCCTACGTTGTAGTTGACTGAAGCACGTGCACCTTTGTAGAATTTTTAGATTTTGTTGACATGTAGATAACATGAAGCTTGGTTTATTTTCACTTTTAATCAACCATTTTTTGCTATTAATGTTCTAACAGTGTCTATCCATATTCAATACTGAAGTTCTTATTATCAAAGAAAGAACAGTTGTAAAGTGAACTTTGTAGGTAAACTGGATTGTTTCCAAGTACTGTATAAACTAGCAAATTGTTGTCACCCTTCGACTATAAGTATTTACTCACTTCCTTCTATGATGTAGTGATATGATTGGTTTCACACCTAGTTATATTTAAAAACAGCAACTCAATGATTTAGGCTCGTATATACAAATCACTGGATAATTACCAGATTTGGATCCATTTCTTTTTAACCGCCATCCGGTTAGTAACTCTATCCATTGGTTCTCATTCAGAAGATATGTTTCAAAAGCCGAGTAAATGAATTTGTACTTGGTTACCGAACTGCAATAATATTTTCTAAGGGTTAATCAGTAAAGTTTATTTCCTATTCGTTTCAAGTTGTGAATAGTTGGATGGGACAGGAAATTTTATTGGAATTCATATTACTGTTTACTTAACTATTGTTTGACATTTTCTATAATAAATCTTTTTTATCATATATATATATATATATACCTGATTTTACAGAAAACAGAAGAACCTGTATTCAAACCATTCAGTGGCACAGGTCATCAATTGAAATCACGCAAGAAATGAAGGATAGTGTACTATCCTCTATATGGAATTGTCTGTTTATCTCACTGTTTAAAACAAAGGATTAAACTGTCAATTTTTTGAGTTTTATTTTATTTATTTAGAAGCACTTGTATAATTTGATTGTTAATATTTTTTGCTCATCAAGAAATCTGTTAAACTGACAATTTTTCTCTGATGTCCCCGTGTCCCATACACTATGAAATACCACCTTTTATGAAATAATTTTTTTGTTCTTTTGAAAAAGTCGGTTAAGACCTTGTGATATTTTAGTGATTAAAATGAAATTGACGTTAGACTGTTGGAGACGATCGTCAGTAAACCGTGGACTTGAGTTTCATGCTGGTTGCCACTCTTCGACAAGGCGTTTTTGTTATCTTGATGAGAGACATAAATATGAGTTAGTAGTCAGTTACTTAATAAACAGTTAAGATTACAAATGTCAATCACCAAAACAAACAGTGGTTATTCCACCGACCACGATTAAGACATAATATAATGTAATTTTGTGATCATGTATTTAGTACAATGTATACACAAGGTGTTCCATCTAAATTTATTGACAGTTTTCTCAGTAGTTTTTGATTCCAGAAGTTTCAAGTTCTTTATCAGTATATTGATGATAAACAGTTAGCAAAATAAGGGCGATTTTCTATGAAATACAAATGAAATAGTGTTTACACATCAAGCATTTTAACTCTAGTAAGTGGACAAATAAAATACGTTGTATTCATTAATTATTGTGACAACCAGTAGTCGGTAGTAGACAGGAATAAGTTATTGTTATTGGTGTTCATAATACATCGGAAACTGATCAACATCCAAAGTGTTAAACTATGAAAATTCGATAACCTACGATTATGGTTTTATTACCAATAAATCATATTGTGCTAAGGACGCTGAATTCCAAAATATAACATTAGTATGATGTCAAATTTTAAAATTCTTGTGACGATCAAAGCGAATTTGCATTTTTTTAAAGTGTATTAAGTACAAAGTTAGTTCGATTTTTGATTCATTCCTCTCTATATTCATAATTTCACTGTGGCTTTTCTGATCAAGTGGCGATTTTTTATTTAAATAATTTGTAAAATACAATTGGACCACTTAACAACCATTTAGTTTAAATTGAACATAATATAATTCTTCTGGGGTCTCAACCAATACATTTTTACAAGAACTCTCTCTTAATTGCGCAAAGGACTATCGTTCAAGTGTTGAGTATTAGTCTCCCCGTCTATCCAGTCTTCACAGATCATGTTTTGTATTAGAAGAATCTCCAAAATATTCGTCATTCGAAATCACACCGTTCTTACTCAAACAAATCTACGACATACTGTACGTACCTTCTATTAATGTTTACCTGATCTTATAATTTTATTATAAAAATTGCGTCTCATTTTATTCTTTTATAAACAGAAAGTAACATACAATCTTGATTGTCCGACCATTTTTGACCGTCATTCAATTTTTATAGGATTCTCTGAATTTATCTAGAAAGTATAGTGAAGAATCTTGTGAAAAGATATCGATCGGCTATATTGAATAATTTCCTCGTTATCGGTTGATTAGCATTCTATTCACCATTTCAAACAATAAAATACCATATACACGATGCCAATGATAGTTCAAAACCCGTGAACGATAACAGTGACGTTGTAGCTTTATTAACTTATGTGTTCATTCTTAAAAATCAAAGCACTTTTTCTGATATAGAATCAACAACAAATACGCAACTCGATCATATTATTAGTTACGGACTTAAGAGGTATAAATCAGTACAGACAGTCGCTTACTGCTTTATAATTTTCATTTTTCAGTACTTTTCTACTAATTGATCTTAGTTCTTTAGGGAGAATATACTGAAGTTATTTATGTAAGTCATTGAATTTCCTGTTTATGGTATTTATGTGTTCTGAACGAGAACTCAGGTGAGGAAAACCAATTTATTGTTAAATGCAAAATAACACGGTGCTGTCGTAAAATATGAAAACCATACATTAAATACCTTCCATCAGTTGTCTTTTACATGTTTCATAAATCTTATTATAATTACCTTCTGTTCTATTCCATTGAATATATATATCAACATAAGTAGCATGCACCACAGGTGTAGTTGTAGAACAAAAAGCTAGGTCATCATAAACAATTTGTGCATTTTATTGTATAGTTTCGTCCTATTATTTTCAAACGTAGAAATGTAGTCAAAACTATCAATACACTGAATCTATACCAAAATTGTTTTTACTAACTAACCAATATTTGAGGAGAAAAAGCTAGCAATTGCTTACTTACACCTGTTACTCCTCGTGGAGGAGCATAGGCCGCCCACCGGCATTCTCCATCTTACTCTGTCCTTGGCAATTCTTTTCAGTTGTTATACGTTCCTTTCATGTCTGCTTCCGATTCTCGACACAGTGTGTTATTTGGCCTTTCTTGCTTCGTGATGCGGTTTGATGATTTTTGCAATCTATGTCCTATCCAATTCCGACGTCTTTTCCTAGTTTGCTCCTCAGCTGGAATCTGGTTTGTTCTTATCTACAGTAGACTGTTAATCATTTATCCGGTTAACGGACACCGAGTATCCTGCGTAGACAACTGTCTACAAATACTTGTACATTTTTTATGACGGTTGTGGTAGTTCTTCAAGTTTCAGCTCCGTACAGTAGGACTGTCTAGACGTTCGTATTGGAGAGTCTGACTATGATATTGGTTGACAGTCGTTTCGAGTTCCATATGTTTCTCAACTGCAGGCATGTTACCGTTGCTTTGCCAATCCTTGCCTGTGCGTCTGCATCCTAATCTCCTTGTTCATAGATGATGCTGACGAGGTACGGTGGTTATCTTGACCTACATTTGTTCATGTGTATGGGATATAAGGGCTAGGTCATCTGAGAAGTTCAAATCATTTGGTTGCATCCAAGCTGTCTATTGTATTTCGTGCTTCCCTTTAGATGTAGAGGTCTTCATAATCCAATCAACCACCAGAAAAAAGAGAAAGGAGGAGAGTAATCAGTCTTGTCTGACTCCGGTCCTCACTTGGAATGCATCTGTCAGCTTCCCTTCAGTCACAACTTTGCAGTGTAGTCCGTCGTATGGATTCCGAATGATATTGACGATCTTAGCTACTCACACTATGATGTCGAATTAGTTTCCATAATGCTCTCCTATCCACACTGTCAAACACCTCATAGTCAAGGAAGTTGATGTATAGCGACGAGTTCCATTCCTTTAATTATTCAACGATGATCCGTATTGTCGCGATTTGGTCTGTGCACGACCGATTCTCACGGAATCCGATCTGTTGGTCTCTACTGGATCTTGCATCCGATGCAGCAACACTCTGTGGAAAACCTTTACTGGTACCGATAATAACGTGCTGCCTCTGTGGTTCTCACACTTGGTCAGGTCTCCTTTCCCTGATATATAGATGAGGTATCCTACTTTCCAGTCTGTCTGTGGCACTTTTTCTTTTTCTAAAATCTTCCTGAATAGAACGTGGAGCATGTCTGCAGTTACTTCTATGTATGACCTCAATACTGGGATCCAAGTACATCCAACTGACGAGTTCGCATCAGAGCAGAACACTCACACTGGATCTCACTACTAACCACGTTCCATGTATTCTAAATACAACTTTAGTTTTTATTACTGCCGTTGATATTACTAGTCATTTTGATTCCCATATTGTCAATTTCTTATTCCGTTTGTGTAAAGTATGTCCACCTGAACCAATTTACATTTGTGGCACGTCTTGATATGTTTATAGTAGATTCAAGGAACCTTTCGACTTCGACCCAATGTGATATATATATATATATATATATATATATATATCGGTTACTGCTGGTTGTATTTCTTTTTATATCACAATACATCAGTGCCACGTAATTATTAATTTCCAAATCATTTTAAAGTTTCGTATCTTCGCAAAAACAACTAAACTGAAGAATGGCCATTTGATTTGCTTTCGTTAGTATGAAAATTGACACAAAAAATAATCCTGTTTACTGCTTGAAATAGGAAGGGGATTTTCTGTTTCACATCTCACAGTCATTAATAATCTTTACTACTATTGTTATTATTATTATAACGTTGTTTTTATCGAAATTCTATATCCTTATTCTTCGAGTTAAAAAATAAAATGGAGACTTGGAATGTTTACAGATCAAGGATTAGATAAATACGAAATCGTTCGCGTATATATATATATATATATATATATACATGCAAATATGTTATGCGGAGACATGATTGAATTTGGAATTCACTAATCTCCTTTATGATCGGTATTTATATCCTAGTTTTTACGCTGGTTATTTATCTTATTGGAATTTAATCACCAAACTTGTGTATCTTGTTAAATTTGTACCGATCCAGATTACCTAAATTTTCATATTGGGTTCAACTAGTCACGAATATAGTGAAAAAGCTTAAATTATCTTAATAACTAGAAACTATTAATAATACAGACATGTCTAAATTATCTTCCTCATTTGTCTTCACATTTTCGATTATAAATTTTATTCATCAGCATGTTGAAATCTCTTAATTTTCCATCTGATTAAATAAAATATATTATCTAGTATCTATGAGATCAGAGAACAAGTAGATTATCATAAACTTACAAAACATACAGTTTGTTGTTCATTTCCCATACTGCTCATCTGAATTAATATAGAGGGTCAACTGTTAATAAACTCTTATCTTTTTATTATGTCATTTACTTGTAAATGAAGGAAATTTTAAAAAAATGTTTAATTAATGGACAAACGAAGGGCTGGTTATCTTCAATTACTTATTGTTTACTAATCCTATATATGAGCGGTGATCTTGGCCGGATGGGCACTTCACTTACAGTGGCTCCACCCACCCTTACGCTTTACATTAACTACGTGTCCTTATGATAACATGTTATCTGTCCAAGATTGACTGACACATTACATTTATTGTGTTTCGTCACCCTGTATGATACAGTTCATATTAATCAATTGTAGAATCCA